TACTAGCACTACTAGTGACAGAACAGGGGACTACTTAGACAACAGGTGTAGTACAGGACGCTGTTATAGATACGTCGGCGCAGCTCAAAGACGAGGTCAAGGCAATGATATGCAAGCTCAGCAGAGCTTCATCTGTGCTGAGGAACTGTTGTCATTCCTGCGGCAGTGATACTAGCACTACTAGTGACATAACAGGGAACTAAGACAACTGGTGTAGTACAGGACGCTGTTATAGGTGCGTCGGCGCAGCTCAAAGGTTAGGTCATGGCAATGATATGCAAGCTCAGCAGAGCTTCATCTGTGCTGAGGAACTGTTGTCATTCCTGTGGCAGTGATACTAGCACTAATAGTGACAGAACAGGGAACTAAGACAACTGGTGTAGTACAGGACTCTGTTATAGGTGCGTCGGCGCAGCTCAAAGGTTAGGTCAAGGCAATGATATGCAAGCTCAGCAGAGCTTCATCTGTGCTGAAGAACTGTTGACATTCCTGTGGTCGTGATACTAGCACTACTAGTGACAGAACAGGGAACTACTTAGACAACAGGTGAAGTACAGGACGCTGTTATAGGTATGCGCCCGATACGTTGGCGCATCTTAAAGGTAAGGTCATGACAATGATATGCAAGCTCAGCAGAGCTTCGTCTGTGCACTACTAATCTACTAATAAATGTCAACACAATGAACCACTTGGATGACAGGACGTTGATTAAAGAGTTAAAAGGTAGATCTAATTACAATACTCTATGCTAAAGTAAAGTGCAATATGGTAACTTAATAAGAAAGTTTTATAGTGATAGTAAAGGATGGAAACTATAAAAAATAATATTGTAGTTTCAATAGTTTCATGAATCCATTACAGGTCCATTCAACATACAACGGAGTTCTCTGTGAGCATATCATTGACAATACTTACAGTACTACTTGATCCATGTAGAAGGGGTGTTTACATCAAAATTCAGATAGGGGAAATTGTACTTTGTACTTTTTCCAATATTATTGTATGGGTCATCCAAACTCTGTTCATTAGCTTGTGATTAGAGCGGTTATTTCTGATTTGGCAGAAAAACCTCGACGTCGCGTCAGCCAAGGATGGGATTAAACGCTTGTTCTAACCAAACCACTCTACACTCGTATTTTGACAAGGCATTTATCGACGTCTTGGAGCGTTTCAAGCCACGACAAATGACCTGAACAGCATCCGAGATGGTTGCTTTGTCGTTGGTGTGACTTATTGATGGGGATCCCTTACAACACAAAACAGAGGAGATGTTAATAATACAATTTGAATTTTAACTGAAAACGCTTTTATTGCTATTTAGCAAATATTACTGGCCAAGTAGACTACACTGAAGTGTAATTGTTTATTGCAATTGTTATTTTGGATCTACAATTGTTTGGTGGGAATGGTTAGAGAGTGCTTTGAAATGACGTAGGCCTATATTTTGCGATCTTTGAGTCATTAGTTTTTTTATAGTTAGATATTGGCCCCATCTGCCCTTGATCGTACCTTTAAAAATGGCTGTGGCTAAAATAACAAATCTATAATCTCTTAGTCTTGGTCAGTAACAAATCGGACCTATCATCCATTTAACATTCAATCTTTCAATCATCTCCGCCTTTAAATACAACTGGAGCGTCTGTCTTGCATTCACCTAATTTATCCACGTTTTTCGCATCTGTTATATAAAGAGGCAACTCAAAACCATATCAAAGTGAACTTTATCCATCGTCAGGATTCTTTCTTCCAATTAATGTTTTGGCTGCAGCCTTTAGCCTGTTTCCAAACCATCAAGACCAGGTGCACAGAACGTCTAATGGTAGCGGTCACACCAGGCTGTTAATAAGCTCGTATTTTGGCTCTATTACTGTTCTTTTCGCCGATTTCGCAAGGCGCGATTAAAACGTCCGCAGTTGAGCTGTTTATTGGAGGCGGCTCGCTGCAATCAAGCTATAAAAGTAAGGCGGGAGCTCGCGTATTGCGTGCAATAATAACAGTCCATCAGGCTTGGCTACCAGAGGCTTGCGTGTTGTGTCCTAGTCCTTCGTGAGCTATCCGCAATGTGCTTCTGTTACAGAACTTGTGGTGACAGATGTATTGATATGTTACCAATACTTATAGACTCTGGCGACAACTTTTACACAAAGAAGGAGGGTCTAGTTACATCAATAGTCGAAACTCCTTAAAGAAAGATATTTTTTCAAACTAAGAGTTTCAATTGAGTTACATTTCCTAAAACCAAAGGGGAATGTGTAACTAGGCTTAAAGATCACAGTTTTCGCTCCAGTGTCATCTCCGTTACAAGCACGGGTACTGCAGCTAGTAGTTTATAAAATAGTTTTATGTTTGATTGCAATATTTTTGAAGATTGTGAAATAACAATAAAAAATTGTGACCCTTTGCTATCTTACAACAGGACGACGTTAGATAGTAATAAGACCAGGGTTTGAATCATTCCCATAAAAGGTAAGGCACGAAAACACAAAAACTTTGATCAAATAATCGTCATAACACGAGAACGAGGTTAAATGCATAAGGAATCTACTACCCTCGTCTCCACAGCTTGATCAGACACTATCCTTCCATATTAGGATTTACTGATGAAATTCTCACAATCTGTCTTGTAACACTTTTCAAACAAAAGACGAGCTACCTGCAGACTGGAACGATAAGAGAATTAGGAGATCGAGTTAGTCTGAGGTTGGGGACTAATTTGTGAGGACGGACAACTCTCAAAATTTGATTATCCTCTCCCCCCACCGTAGGTAACTTCGTTTTGATTATAGGTCCTTTTGTCACAATCCTTCCTTCATCTTTTGTTCTAGATCTCCTCTGTCTGTGATTTGTTTATGTATTATGGATTTTATGAGACAAAACTATGAATATGCAAATTACATTTTGTTACAATAGTAGACTGTGTGCTCTTTACTTTTGCCATTTTATACGGTATGATCATTGACAAATGGATACTGAAGTAGACATCCCATCTATATGGAACAGCCGTTTCCAATTTATTAAAAGAAAATAACGTAGTTATGTGAGACAGTCACAGAATGCGCTGGGGTCTAAAATTCCATTTCCTACCTTATTTATTGTTGCTGACCAAGTTGGTGGGTCAACAGTTGCTATAGCTCACCACATTATAAGTCATTCTACAGTATTAGTTTGACGTTGTTATACAGTCCGTGTACTCGACATAAATTAGTGATTTTAGATTAGCGCGCGCAATCTATCGGTGGATCATATAATTAAACTACGACGATTTTCATTTACAAAACTGGAAATAACTTTAACATGAGAATGGAGTGTATAGCTGTCTTAATGGTCAAGTCAAAGGTATGATAATTCACACGACTTAATACATTTAGGTTCAGTTCAGAATAAGTTATTTTTAGGTCGTGAGTTGCATCTGTCAAAGCAGTGATTACGAGAATGTGTACTATTTTAAAGGATAAGGAGGGTATACAAATAACCAATTATATTGCAGGGAATCATTTATGATCATTAATTATCTTTGGGTGTAAGAGAGGGAGAGTCCGTGTACTTTCCCCTAAAAACTTTTGTAAAATCTCTTAAAACGATATTTTTTTTATTTTTAACAAAATTAATCTATGTGTCACAGAAAATTGCCAAGTACATTGCATCTTACCTGGTCTAGGAAATGGCCCCGCCCCTGTCTGGTGGTGCCCGTGACATGAGGGGACAAGTAATATTTTTCAAATATATAGTGTTATTTGGACTAATATGATTTTTTAACGGTGAAATGGTTACTTTACAAATTTAGATGAAACTGCAATACGAATACCGAACCAAAAATTTCTTGGGTGTTCCTTAAGAATGATTTAAATCAACTACATAGATTTTGCCATTCTTTTAGTTCAGCTAAAGATAAGCTATTTTATAAAATAAATAAGTTATAAATAAGCATAAGTTATGTTTAAAACCGGGGGAAATTGAGTATTACATTTTGATTACTAGAATCCATAGTCAATGGTAGTACGTTGATAATGTCATCTTTTGTAGAATAATTTATAGACTATTTTACTACTTTAACATTATTTCATAAAAAAAATTGTACGGCCTATCCTGTATCGTTATTACTAAACAGTAACACATATAGTCGTAATCGTAATAGTCGTATGTGTGGATCAGCACCGCCACGCCACGCACGCCACCTTTAAAGGTGGCCGTGATAAAACATGCATCACATAAAGCTTCAGACTTTATGACAGAGTGTAATAATATTCGTGCAGTACCCAAAAACCGGTATATTTTGTATTCGTTTTTATGTAGGTGTTATGTTAGTTACTTCCTGTTATCCTTATAACACTAAACATAATTGCTGTAGTCACTATTATTCCCGTAGATAACTTTAGTCACAGCATTAAGTGTCATTGTTTTTCAGGCCACACTCGTACTTGATATTGGGATTGGAATGAATATATTGATCAGGGAAGGAATAACACATCGAATGGATTGATCATTAATATCATAGAAACATAGACTATTATAACACTAGAATTCTCCTCCCATTGTAAAAATCTTGAACGTTTGATTATTGAAATAATATGGGTTTTATGTTGACAACATCAAACGCCAGTGTTGACGAAATTATTTTTCTCTTATTTTAGGATTTATTTTATGATTTTTCCTTACTATTAGGTTATACATCAGACGCATAAAATATACAACACAAAACCAAAAATTGTTGTGGTCATTGACCACTTTTTCAACCACTGGAGGGAAAAAAGTGTCTCTATGGACTTATTTAAGGCAAGCCTGCTTTCCTGTCAATTTCCCTAATAAATCAATAAAGCAGTGTTTTAAATCTATGCTTAAGCGGTGCTTATGCTATTTAGGCAGCGTAACTGCATGGGGAAAATTAGTAAGCTTTTTGATCAGCAGGAAAAGAATAACTATGAGTCAAGATTTGATTGGCTGTTGGACTTTTTTCTGCTAGTACTAGTACTATAATTGCTTTTTGTGTTTGTCTGTCTGTCTGAGGTTATGTTTTAAACTACAATTTGGACAAATTTTACTAAACACGGAAACACGAATTTTCAATTAGGTAGCCTATAAAATTGAAGTAAAATGGCTGATGACAAGGACAAGGATACAATCGTTCAAGAATTTCAGTTGGATCCCGATGCAGAACTCAGATTCGAAGTTGAGAACAAAAATGAGACAGTAGTGATAGAGGTAGGTCTTAGTCTCATACCGCTAACTTTACTGAGTGATAGGTAGGCTAGTTTTAATTTTACATAATTCCAATCAAAATTACGTAGGCTAACAAACAATATCTGTTCAAGCCAATACAATCGCAGGAATCAATGATTAGGTAGGTAGTCTTTGGGCTCTTGTCGGCGTTTTCAATATTAAGTGACGGGACGAAAAAGAGTACGGAGACTTTCACAGCTTAACTCTAGGTATATCTAGTCTGGTACAATGCCTAGTAAGATGTTGATGTGTTGCTGCTCTGGAAGGAAACTCCTCAAATTGCCTAAGTAGGCCTAACACGTATTTTATGCAGGCGAGGAAATAACTTAGTGACTTAACCCTGTTAGCATGACCAGCCTGGCAATGACAGGCTTGCAGTGAGCCAAAAGATTGCTGAAGATGAATATTCTCAGACCTCGTTTTTGCAGGATCAGTAGGCTATTTCTTCGGTCAAGGGTGTGTGTCCCGACAACAAATCACCATAGCTCACATGGCAATGAAACATTGTGTGATAAGCGCCATAGACAAATAGAATAGATACCTATAGACTGTCAAAGGAAGGTTCGGGAGCCCACCGCTAGGAGTGTCGTGTAGTTACGGCGCACACCGCTGCAGGCGAGGAGCGCAGGAGCCGTATGCGACCAGCAGATGCTGCAGCAGTGAGCGCCGTAACTACACGGCAAACCTAGCGGTGGACCCCAGAACTTATGCTAACCGCAGCACAGCTGACGGTCTATATTTATTCTATTTGTCTATGTACACGTTCAACAGGTATTTCTGTATGACCAGATGCCTAAGTTTCAGAAGCAGGAAGCATACCCTTGATAGTTTACTGCAAACTTGGTCTACATGGTCACTCCAGGTTAGTTTCTGGTCGAGATTGAATCCGTAAAACTTCAACGGATCATTCAGAGGAGCACGTTTGGCCAGACTGCAGACAAGAGACTGTGTTTTGGTTTGGTTCAGCTTGAAGCCATTGGCCTCAAACCAGTTCGAAGCTTCGAGTAATTGTGTATCGGCTTGATCGACCATAAAGTGCTCGACGGGCAGTTTTAGGGTTAGGCCTAAAATATAAATTTTTAAAAGGCTTAGGTGCTAGGTCTAGGTCTTGCTAAATCCCTGCAATCATCACTGGCTTGTCCATGTAAACTCGTACTGAACCGGTTCTTCACTGTCTTTGATCAACCCATAGAGAAGTAGGTCTAATATAGTCTATAACGATGACCAGGCTTGATGCTGAAAAAAATTTACAATAAACAAACAACCTTAGTTTTTTGCTCGTCTTTCAAACAAAAAATCATTTTGTGACCTTTATAATGCTTTTATTCATACCACCAATCTTAAATTATTTTGTTTCAGGTTAAAAGTGGAATGGCTGAAATATTTGGAACTGAACTGGTCAAAGGCAAGTCATACACATTCCATACTGGGGCCAAAGTAGCAGTCTTCACTTATCAAGGTTGTAATATAGAGCTCAGAGGAAGGAAAAATATCAGTTATATTGCCAAAGAGACTCCTATGGTAAGTTTATGCCTTTATGCCCTTTCCAGAAAGAGAGGGTTTTGCATTATTATCTTTGCCTCTAAAGCTCAAGATGCAGGGACTTTTAGACCGTCAAGAGAAACTGTCCTAACATCTATGACATCAGCTCATATGTACGATTCTTCTTCCGTAGATGTTCTACCTGAACTGTCACGCATGTCTGGAGCAGTTGCGTATCAAGGCGGAGGCAGACTCTGGGCGTGGACCCGTCACACTAGTAGTCGGGCCTGTAGACGTGGGCAAGTCTACAGTCACCAAGATACTGCTAAACTACGCAGCCAGGATGGGCCGACGACCCATATACGTAGACCTTGACGTGGGGCAGGGAGGCATCTCCATTCCCGGCACTATTGGTATGGACTTAATCTTGTTAGGACATATAAAGGTGCTAACTAAATATAGTAATCCAAAAGATTTGCTTGTGAGTTGCAAATTCAAACTAGTAAATGCGTTTTTTTAAGGGATGGGGTTTGTTCATGGCTTACCTGAGATAGGTATAAGACTAGGTTTTATGGACAAAATAAAGGTTAAACAATCTAACACTGATATTTCATTGTGTGGGACTTACCGTATGTGATTTCTATTGAACTGTCAAATATTTCATCAGCTGTTATATCTATATAAATTTGGGTTTAAACATTTCATTTCATAAAAGGACTGCTTTAGAGAGTAAAGATAAGATTTTAAGTAAGATTTTACACTTATTCTTCACTCTATTCACCATCAACTCTGTGCTATATTTTGCTTATCATTTTTATTCTATAAAAAGTAAAAATCTGTTACACTAAACACTAGTTTAAGTTTATTTGCTATTTCTTTTATGCGTTGTCCTGACTGTTTATTCTGTCTAGGCATCCACTAAGTATTTTTCAATCCTCCATCCTATCACAGTTCATCTTCCTTTTGTTCCCCTTACATCTGTTACTATCAACTTAATTTTCCGAGAAATTCTCTCTTCTCGCTCACCCATCTTTATTCCTAATTCCATCCCACTTTGATCTTAATATCCGTTGAAATCTCATCCCTCAACAAGTGTTCTTTTCCATTCTCTGTTTATACTTCCATCACATTAATTACCCCATGTTACTCTTATACCAAACAATGTTGATAACCTTACAATAAACCAAAGTTATCTCTTGGCCACACCAGGTGCTGTGATGGTGGAGCGACCTGCCTCAGTAGATGAAGGGTTTTCTCAACAAGCTCCTCTCGTCTACCACTACGGGCACAAGAGTCTCAACCTTAATCTTACTCTGTTCAACACACTTGTCTCACGCATGGCGGAAGTAATCCACGAACGAATGGCAGCTAACAAGAAAGGTAATCACGTCAAAAGTTGTATAATCTAATCTGACTTGGTTATTTTGAAATATCAATGTCCACAGGTTAAGTGTTGGTGTTTATTTTCCAAGTTTAGAGGCTCTAGAAAAATTATTTATGTTAAATAAATGAATGTGTAGTTGTGGGAAAAGTTTCTATTTCAGAGTTAGTTGTTAACATGATATTATTAAGATTAGAGAACATTTTAAATATCTCGTTTAGAAGATTGAACACTCTTTTTTAAGTCAATATATTTAGTAGGACTCTCAAATTTTATTTTGGAAAATTACTTGGCTTTCCATTTGATACCAATCATCTGGGGCTTACCCAACTTTTAATAAGGCTGAATAATCTGCAGCAAGCATTTTTAGAAGCCCTTCATTTCAAAACTTTATTATGAATATGAAAATAAGATTATGAATATGACTCTTTTAATTAGTAAACTTTCTACAAATATATATTTCTCTTGCTCCGCTTCCCAGAGGTGACACTGAGCTGAAATCAGACCTGTCACTTCTCTTTAGGAGTATCCATCCATGCCTAACTTATGAAATCACTAAGGCTACTTGCTACTACTAAAACTTTCTGGGATTTCTACATTTTCCACTGATTGTGTATTTTGGCCTGTAGCCTTCATCATACTAATATTATAAATGTGAAAGTTTGTGTGTTTGTTTGTTTATTTGTTTGTTTGAAGTTCAATCACGCATTAACTACTGGTGGGATTGTGTTGAAATTTGGTATGATGATAGCTCACATTCCCGATTAACATATAGACATATTCTTACCTCAAAAATCCTTTTGGGCTCCGCCCCAGCGGCTCTAGAATTTCCCATGTTAACCTTATTAGTATTATTAGTAGATATGTAGCCTAATAGCTGAATTTTCTTGACTTTTGTCTATTGCATTTGTTGTAAATGTTGAAGGACAATAAAACGTTTCTGATTTCTGATTCATATTTAAAAGGAATTAAATAATTTTGCCAGCTGTTTCAACTACGCAATTCGTTTCTATGATATTCAAGAGCATTAAAAGGTTATACGGTTTACCAACAGGGTGCAGCACCATTAGTTCTTTATACATTTATGACAACAGCTAATTTGAACCAAGCAGCAACAAAAACCTGTGTGTGAGGACTTTACTTCGTTCTATTGCTTAGGTGAAGTGATAGAACATTATGGCTATGGTTGATATTCTATATCCTATAGTATACAGTAGATTATAGTAAATTTTCCAAATTTTCTCAAAACGTGTCCTCTCTCATTGCAAATGCAAAGCACGAGTATTTAACTACAATAAGCATTGCATACTAACCCCGTACGAAGGACGGGTACTCAGCTAGTACATTATAAATACCAAATCATAAAGTACATAGGCTATTTTTATCAATATATTTCTATCATGTTACAGCTAATGCCTCTGGTATCATTATCAACACCTGTGGTTGGATCAAGAACGATGGCTACAAGCATCTGATGCACGCAGCACAGGCGTTTGAGGTAGACGTGATTCTGGTGTTGGATCAGGAACGACTTTACAACGAGCTTGTCCGAGACATGCCCAACTTCGTCAAAGTAGTTTTGTTGCCTAAGAGTGGCGGGGTGAGAATTACATTTTCTAGTTCTTGATTAGTTCTAACTTAAGTATTAGTTTCTATTATAATTTCTAACAGATATATATATACAGTTAAAGAAAATTTTCTATTGCTTAAAAAACTGAAAATATAAGAATATTTCAAATATTTGTAATTTTTTTAATATTTGTAATGTGTGTTGGATCAGTTGACCTTCATTAATTGCACGAAGTGTAACCTCAAGACACCAAGTATCCTCCAATTCAGTTGCATCTATATTGCAATTATGATTTGTATCAATTGCCTCACACATTAGCCTGCCAGATGCATAAAAACATCCCTGAGGATTTGAATGATTTTTGTTAGCCACCTCACAGCCAGATCTGATTTTTAATGGTTCATTTTTGGCAAACAATATTTTAGCTCCTAAATACACTGGTCTGCATAATAATAGTATTCAATAACAAAAACATTGCTTGTCTTCTACAAAACAGGCTATCCTATTAGGTATTTTCTATTGCTTTACGATGACTTTGTACTTGAAATGTTATCACACAACCCAATATTTTACAAAACAATCTGAGGACCTTTAGTCTGCGATGTCTGTGGTCACGGCAAAATCGTAAACACCTAAATAAGAAAACATCTTTTGGGGTCACGGTAGGATCGGGGACGTCTTCTTACTTAACTTCTGCGGTCACAAGACCAATAACATCTTCTGCGGTCACGGCCAATTAGAGAACATCTTCTGGGGTATTGGGAAATCAAGAACTTCTTCTGCAAACTTGATAACATCTTCAGTAGTTGCGGTGAAATCATGAACATCACGCACATCTTACGAGGTTAAAAAAATATTCGACATCTTCCCTGGTAACATTATTGTCTCCCACAATCACAGTAAAATCGTCAATCCCGAGCCTCTTCGTAAACAATCTCCACGATCCCGGAAATTTGCACTAGGTTCGGCTCGACTCGATCCAAGCTTGGCCCGACAATCATTTTCTGCCTGTACGGATCTCTTGTGCCAACCCGAAAATATGGAGTTCCCGGACCCGTAGACCCCTATTAAAATACATGTCATTAAAATACAAAATAATAGTATTAAAATACACCTGGGGACTAGGAATCAAGAAAACCAGGTTTATTTTTTCAGATTTTGTAGTAAAAAATAACAGTTAAATTATTCACATTATGCCAGTTACCACAGTAGTTTTATTCAAATTTTAAAAACAAAGCAACAACCAACAACATATAAATTGACAAGACAAATTAGTTTAAAAAAATGTATATTGTATAATCAAACATTTTAGATTTAAATTTAAAATTTAATCATTTATCTCAAGTAGGTACTCATAAGATCACCCTTTTTACTGGGGTTTATCTAAATATATAAAAGGCAAAGCCCTCACTGACTCACTCACTCACTCACTCATCACTAATTCTCCAACTTCCCATTTACCTAGGAGGCTGAAATTCGGTACACCGATTCTTTGGGCATTAAATAGGAAAACTAAGTAGTTTTTATTCTGATCGGGCTTTCGGGCTCCGCCCCAGTGGCTCTGGAGTTTCCCATGTTAACCTTATGATTTTTCATATTTAAAAGGAATTTCTTAACAGCTGTTTCAATTCAACAAGTTGGTTCTGTTCTATGATGTTCAATAGCATTAAAGTTACAAGGATTACCAACAGGGTGCAGCACTATTATTTTTTTTAAATTTATGACTACAGCCAATTTGCAACCAAAAGGTGAGTGAGCGTAGCGAACGAACTTCAACCTGGAAGCGAGGTAGCGAACGAGCTAACCTGAAGGCAAGTGAGCGGAGCGAACGAGATCCAACCCAAAGGTGAGTGAGCGTAAGCGAACGAACTTCAACCAGGACGTGATTGAGCCATGCGAACGAGCTCACTTGTGAAGTTAAACGGGGCAAAGCCCGCGGGTACAGCTAGTTCCTATATATATATATATACCTACCCCAACCCCCGGCTAGAAAAGTCAGATGGACGACCATGCATGGGGGTTCCAACGTGCACCAATCAGAATATTGATGGCTTTTTGCTAAGCGTGCTTGTGATGAGAAGGCTTTAAGCCCAACAAACAATTTATACAGGTCTCTTGAACAAGGAAATAGCTTTCTGTATTTTAAATCTACTCCCACTAAACGCTACATTACAATGTTAACCAACCTGTTTATACAAATAATTAGCCATTGTCACCAATAATAATAATCTATAATATTAAAACGAAACAGTGTAAACAATGTTGTAACAATGTTTACATATTTTAATTCTTCATGGTAGCTTTCTGTTTACATTTAATGTTTGTCTGCTTTAACTTTGTTTGGGTTAGGCCCGGAAATATTGATGTCATAAAAAGAAGATCAAGAATAATCAGGAATCACGTTTTAAAATTACCACCACAACCTCAGCCGGGTTTTATACAAAGATAAACAGATAGATGACATAGATTGAACACAACGTCAACATTGACCTAGGATACTGCAATTAGACAACTCATCCTTTGATGAAATCGTGTTCAGTTGTGGTTACGTTTGGGGTTGCCTATATCAGCGCCCCCAAACATGAAAATATCACTTTTATTTCAACTATGAATATATTGTAGTTTAAATTAACTAATATGGGAAATTACGATGTACATTTATTAAATGAGGGTGGGTAATTATCAAGGATAGAACTGATAACGGTATGGATAATAAACATTGACAATTACGTCATTAGCTTTACTATAGGTCGGCCGCTTAGAAAACGACCTCCTCCAGCATTGGTTTAGCATTAGCGCGCAGGTCGTTTTCTAAGCGGCCGACCTATAGCGTGTTTACTTTTTATATTCCTGCTGCATGTGATTCTTTTTTTCAAATGAATATTATTTGAACCAAACAGCTGTTTCAAAACAAACTGTTATTGTTTTTACTTTTCTTTGTTTACGCTTATTTATTTAGCAATTAATGCAGTAAAATTGATATAAAGGATAGGTGTGACGATTAGTTTTGATGTTAGGACACCAAAGTTAAATTGGTACTTACGTATTATACGGAGGCCACTTATTTTACAGCGCGCTGCGGCGGTTAGGTTAGGTTGGGTTATCATAAGTTTTTATGACTCATCTCGTATAGTTCGATTCATAACGAAACTAGGAAAGTTCTACAAACATATTTATGATATCCCAACTTAACCCAACCGCCGCAGCGCGCTGTAAAATAAGTGGCCTCCGTATAATACGTAAGTACCGTTAAATTATTTGTAATGTGAATTTTATTTGATATTATCGTTTTATTTTAGGTCGTATCTATTCAGACCTACTGGAAATTGTGTATAGTAGTTGTATTGTGGTGATAATAATTATGGAAGAGGCAGGTATGCTATGGAAGGTGGTATCGTTGACTAGGTCTATACACTTCTCAATTGACTATTAGTCTCCCTACGCTACATATTTGGTCACACAACATTTGTTTACAAGATGATTTTTCACATTAAAACTGCTAGAAACTTTGTCTTTATACGTGTAAACTAGCTGATCTGAATTGTACACGGTTTTAACTGACTACTGAATTCCCGTACGTAGGACGGGCTAATACCTCGTCATATTTATGATTTAAATATTTTTGTGCCTTTAAAAAACTGTATAAAAATATATTAATGTATTCCATGATTTTCTACAGGTTGTAGAAAGGTTACAAAGTTACCGGATAGAAGCAAGAGACATGAGGACGAGAGAATATTTCTACGGAGCAAGGACGCCACTACACCCACACTCCTTTGACGTCAAGTGGGCAGATCTCAAGATATACAAGGTTGGCGCCCCTGCCCTGCCTGATAGCTGCATGCCGCTTGGTATGAGGGCGGAGGACAATATGACAAAGCTAGTAGCAGTGTCTCCAGGTACTGTGGAACATTGTTTCTTACCTTAGGTGAAAGGTATGTGATTGTAATATTAAGTTTAAATGTCCGCTTAATAGTTTGGCCAGTCTTGTATGAATAGTCTGTTTAATTTTGATATTTACACACCTCGTTTAGTACAATAATAGTACGTAATTATTTATCCATAATAAACTAATACAGTTGAATTGTCTTTTATTCAGGCTCTTTGGTCTAACTAATAGTACAAGTCAAGACTAAAAATAATGGATACTAAAACACACATTTTGTGCGTACAGTAACAGTACTAAACTAGCAGAGTCCTAATCCAAACTAATTGGAACCCTGTTTGCATTAGCCAAAAATGTGGCAAAATGAAATCAAACAATGTTTTTGATTTTATTTGCATGGAGCAACATCTGTGATCATCTTCTTGTTCATGACAACCTTAAATACCCCCGCCGCAGCAAACCTGCCGTCTAAGCGAATTTCCATTTGGCCGAATTGATTTTCAATTGATCTATTTAAATAACATTAGGTTTAACGAGTACCTAGGTTTGCTGCTACAAGGAAACTAATAAAGTAGTGTGTTTTTAGTAAAATATTGATAGCTTACTATAAAATAAATAAATTTGCCAAGTTTGATCAAAATATATCCATAAACAAGCAAACTACAACATTTTACAATATTCTCCATAAGAATAACATGGGAATTTTAAATTTACAATTTTTTTAGTTTTCTCCGTAACCAATAACCGTACAAAAACACTTTGATATACTGAATTGTTTGTTTTTTTAAGCTCTTTAAGAAGGTTTAGAGAAAAATTGGGAAATTTTGTGTTTTGAGGGTAAAAAGTGAGAAAAACCAATTTTTACCCCATAAAACCCCCCATAAAACCCTGTTCCCATGGTCCGATCATGCTGGATCGCGAACTCATTCAAGTTTATCCCGCCTTACACCTTCAAACCAAATTTCATCAAAATCGGATAAAAATTACTCAAGTTATCGTGTTCACGGACACATATATATATATATAAATCTATATATATATATACCTATATATATATATACATATATAAAAATTTGAACGAATGGTGTTTTTGGCCTCTGGGGACATTAAAATGAAAAAGTAAATCGGTCCCGGGCCTAAGTCTTACCATGAGACCTACGGTAATAGCTACTTCCCTATAGGGAAATTCGCTAAAAGGAAGCAACAAATCACAGTTACTGTTAATAAATGAACACTCGGCTATAGGCTTTTAATTTTTATTAAAAGTTCCCAGTTTCATACCAAAAATTCAGTACAGTAGAACCTTGATAACAAGACTCTCATAATAATTATTAAATAAGTCTCATTATTAAGATCAGGGGTGACATGTTATCAGGGTCTTGTTATCAAGGTTCCACTGTACTTTCTAACAAAATTCTCAGACCTTTTCCCGGTCATCAAAATTCACATAGGCCCCTACAAATAATATGGACAAATTTATGTGACAATAGTACGATTTTCAATTTAATTCATTTGGGCTAGCTTGTTTATTATTATGATTTCTTCTTTTGTAATTGTTCCAGGTCCTAACCTTTTGCATCACATTTTGGCAATCACTTTTGCAAACAGCATTGAAGATGATGTGATTCAAACAAATGTAGCTGGCTTCATATGTGTGTAAGTATAGTTTGTCCGTTGTAAACTCTCGAATAAAGTAGTTACAGTAGTTATCATTATCACTGCTTTTGATATAATACACCCTTCTATGTGTGTAGTATTAGTGGACACTCCCATGGTTTGGGAATCCGTGACGCTACTGGCATTAGTTCTTACCATACTGAAATTAATGTTTTCTGTCAATATTTGTAATTATTTTTACCACATGTTTGTTTTCAGGACAAACGTAGATGTCGATCGTCAGACAGTGACAGTGTTATCGCCCCAGCCAAGACCATTGCCGGACACTATCTATCTTCTGTCTGAGATACAATTTATGGACAGCCACTAAAAAAAACTACCATTTCATAGAGACTATTGTCTGATTTCTGTATTTTCTGTTTGTGTCAACAAGATTGAGCAATTGTCTATTTTGTGGGATATTTTATGTAAAGTAATAAAATTTTTACATCATGATCCACAATGAAATTAACATTGTACATATTGAGACACTCAGGAATTAGGTATGATTAATTTTGTACCTTTACAAAAAATAAAACTTAATTGTAATTTTGTAATGATTGTTATTTATTTTATCCTCTTATAATCTCCACTTAGATTTATTACTTATCAGGTAAAAATGTTCATTTGTTGAGGCAGAAGATCCACTTGCCTGGAAAATTTAGGGACTTAACATCGCTAGATTACTGAAAATGCTAGGAGTTGTGAAAAAGCTTGACTGTAAAGATAGCAGAAGTACCTTTAAAATAAGGAGTAAAACCACTATCTATAATTATATTTCTATCAATTTTATCAAACCAATTTTGAATTAAAATTCATCTTTGATTAATTGTCCAACAATTCTGTTGCTGAAACCATTAGGATTTAATCTCAAAGGCCAGTCAATACATCATGAGTTTAAATCAAACCTTCACAACATCTATGCGAGCATAACTGGACAAAAACTGTTGAAAGCAGTAAGGTATTGTCAGTTACACCATGCTGACGAATCTGATTATAGAATGTGAAAGCCTTTTGATTAGCTTTTTGTCATTAACAAATTATGATAAGCTTAAACTAACTTGCCAAGCAAAGTCAAAAACTTATCCTCTGTTAAAAAGTACTAGCCTACCTTTAAAAATTCACAAAAAAACTGATATAAGGGTAAAAAAATAAACATGAGAATACTGAAGTTAAAAATGATTTTTAGTGGGTTTCCTGCTAAATACTGACAATTTAACTAAACCATATCTACAAAAAGAAAAGGATTATTCGACCAAATTTGAACGTCTAATGGAATACACATAAGTGGTAACTTGTTATGAAAAACTCTGATTTGTACACACTTTTGTAGGTCGCTTTAAATGTAATTTATCTATGATGGATAAGTTACAGTACGGTAACCTAACTAAACAACAATAATTTTAGAAACTCAAAAGAATATTAGTGAATTTCCCACACAGGGATGAAGCTATTACACTGTGGCACGGTAACAACTAGAGGCATTGTCCCCAGAGGCCAAAAACACTAAATTAGTTCAAATGTTTTTGTACATTCGGCCTAAAAACAATATCTAAATGTCATCTCACGTTAGTTATTTGGTAAATATAGCAACTAGGTCTAATTGATCATTTTTAACATGGTCGTACATTGTTGAGTTTTTGTAAATACTTGAGAATTCACAACATTTTAGGTACCGGTAGCCTATTAAAGCCAACTAAGCTAATTGTACATAGTTATATTAAGATTTTCAAAAGCTAACTTTTATCACATTTTAAGCTAGGCTGTAATTTTTAGCTTAGTTTTAATAGGCCCATTAGTGTTTTACTTTTTTACTTATATAGGCCTATAAGTTACTGTACAATGAGCATAGTTTTGGCACCTATTTTATTGGACTCACCTAACCTAACTTAATAATACTCCACTGCCCAGGAAAGGTAGAAGTCTATTTTCTTTAAATGTTTATTGATTTCACTCACTGATATTTTTTGTTGTGTGGAATTCCTAGCATCAGGGAATCGTTTGTAAAAATCACTTGAACTCGGAGAGTTTTTACTTTCTTTAACTTTTTTCTTGCATGCAGAGAACAGCTGATGTGTTTCACTTAGGGCTGCTAAAACATACAAGCTCTTTTTGGATTCTGAAGGTCCTTCGACAATTTGTCTAACATCCTCCTTCAACTGTCCTTCGTCTACATTGGTCAAAACACAGCTGTTACTAACTGCAGCTAGATGAACGGCTGCCACAGCATTTTCTGGATCTTCAAATACTTGATTGCTTGAAAGGTTTTTACTAAGGGAAACTATAGTGGTTCCTGCTTCTTGTGGGGAGTCAAGATAGTCGCCATTGAATATACGAGCCGTAAGACTGTATGCTGCGAGTATATTAACAACATTCCATCTCACACAGGGTGAGGGTGAGACTTTGGACAATTTTGATAATGGTTGGATATTCTCTAATAGTTTTGGTATATTGGAAGGAAGTTCAGGGGCTTGATTGACTGTGTCAAGGTCAGTTACAAGTTTCTTCTCCTCTTTGAATAACCACCAAGGCTGCCAATGAGGAACAATTTGGGAAACATCTCCTGAACGCAATAGTTCTTCAAACTGCTGTTTTTCTGCTAATGTTAATTTCTCCCACACTGAATCAGGATCATCAAGGTCCACGCCTGCTAGCCTCCCTGCTAAATCTTCAACGCTATCATCATCATCTGAATCAGGAACTTCTTCGTCAAACTGTTCATCAATGTTTTGCACTCGTTGAAGTATTTCCATCATTTTGGACTGTGTTTGAGGGTCAACATCCTCACTTCTAATTTGTTCCACAACACAGTCTTTGTAAAATGTTTCAGAACACTGAGAATGCAACTCAGACTGGTAACATTTTAAGGAACAGTATGGAATATTACATTTGGGACAAACATACTTTGAATCAGCTTGTTTACAAATTTGACATTGATTTGCACTTTCCATGATTGATCAAATTAATCAAAACAAATCAAAATATAGTGTTGAAATACTAAATAAGCCTATGAGTTCAATATTAAATGTCTTTTCCTAAAATTACTGGCACATCAGTGATCACACATTAAGCATCTTCAGGACTGGTTTACCATCCAAACACGATACAACAATTCAGAAACAAATATTTTAGGAACGGGCTTTCCACTATTCCAGAATATTGAAAATTGATTAAAGACAGTTCACCCCACTCAAATAACAAGACGAACTTACTTTTTACACATTAAATACGATATCATTACGTTCAAGTATCTCTCCTAACCTCAAAGAATAAAGAGAGGTTATGTTGTTCTGTTTTTGACAGCAGTCACTTCGTTGTTTCCAGGCGGATCTTTAGTTTTCATGAAACTGAGATGTCTGTTCTCGTTCCTGTAACACTCTAGGAATATAATCATTGATTATAAAGCCTATGTATTTTACACAAAATTCAGATATTATTATTTGAATTAAATCAAATAAATTGTAAATAAAGTTTCATTTATAAAAAAAATGGTTTCTTTTTTTGTTTCATAAATGTAAGTTTTTATTTATTTATTTGATTTAGTTCAAAAAATAATATCTGAATTTGGAATTTACTATATGTTGTAAAAAAAATTAGAACATCTACTAAATTCCAAACATAAATATACCAATATTGAAGAAAATTTAATAATATTAGGGATAGAAAGAGATAGAGAACAATATAAAGTAAAAGAAGAAATTAATATTTATATGAACTACAAAAACAACAAGTTGACAACAATCCAAATGAAAAAATACCAAAATTTTAGAAAATATTAATGAAAATGAATACAAATATATCATATAGAATTTAAATGAATCAATGAAGACATGAATTATGTAACAAGCAGGACATGTTTTAATATTATATGTTATTTGTTATTATATTATTTATTTACATATTTTTATTTGAGTTTTTTAAAATTTGAAAATGGCCTAGTGCCTAAACCTGGTTAGGAAGTTTTAAATAATTTTACACAACAATACCCCCGCCGCAGCAAACCTGCACACTAAGTGAATTTCAATTTGTCTGATTACATTTTTACTAAAATATTTCCATAAATAAAACCAACATACTACTTAATCCCAATTTAAATAACATTAGATTTAACGAGTGCTTATGTTTGCTGCTACGGGGAAGGTAAAAAGTGTTGTTTGACCATACGTCGATAGTATAGGACAAAAAAAATTGCCAAATTTTATCAACATCTATATATATAAAAGGCAAAGCCCTCACTGACTGACTCACTCACTCACTCATCACTAATTCTCCCACTTCCCATTTACCTAGGAGGCTGAAATTTGGTACACTGATTCTTTAGGCATTAAATAGGAAAACTAAGTGGTTTTTTATTCTGATCGGACTCTCGGGCTCCGCCCCAGTGGCTCTGGAATTTCCCATGTTAATCTTATGAGTACTTATATTTAAATGGAATTAATGAATCTTAACAGCTGTTTCTGTTTAAATCAAGTTGGTTCTGTTCTATGATGTTCAATAGCATTAAAGTTACAAGGATTACCAACAGGGTGCAGCACCATTATTTCTTTTACATTTATGACAACAGCTAATTTTTAACCAAAAGGTGAGTGAGCGTAGCGAACGAACTTCAACCTCAAGGCGAGTGAGCGTAGCGAACGAGCTAACCTGAAGGCAAGTGAGCGCAGCGAACGAGCTCCAACCTAAAGATGAGTGAGCGTAGCGAACGAGCTCCAACCTAAAGGTGAGTGAGCGTAGCGAACGAACTTCAACCAGGACATGATTGAGCCATGCGAACGAGATCATCTTGAAAATTAAGAAGTTAAACGGGACAAAGCCCGCGGGTTACAGCTAGTATATCTATAAACAAGTAAACTATACGGTAACAGTTTTCATTTTCTCTATAAGAATAACATGGGAATTTTAAATTAGACTATTCTTGAATTTTCTCTGTGACCGTTAGACATACAACAGCGCTTCAATATACCAAATTATTTCTTTTTTATGTTCTACAAAATGGTTTGGAAAGAAATTGAACATATTTTTGTTTTTTTTTCGGTCAAAAACGGGGAAACCCCATTTTTACCCCCATAAAACCCTGTTCCCCAGGTCCGATTATGCTGGATTGCGAACTCGTTCCAATAAACGTAGGTTTACACGTTTGTACCAAATTTCATCAAAATCTGATAATTTTTGCACGATTTATCGCGCTAACGGACACATATATATACAGTATATGAATTTGAACGAATGGTGTTTTTGGCCTCTAGGGACGTCAAAATGAAAAATTAAATCGGTCCCGGGTCCAGGTCTTTCTATGAGTACTACGGTTATAGCTTCTTCCCTATAGGGAAATTCGCTAATAATAAAAGGAATAATTATAGTTAGTCACATGTTCAGCTAACTTAGAATTTAGAGGATCTTGATTTATTCTTTGTTTAATTTTGTGTATATTATATAATATTTCTGTTTTATTGCAACTGTAGGATTTTTTCAAATATCGGACTTGTTTTGTTGATGTTCATGGTATTCAGTACATTTTTAAGGAAATCTTTTGTTATTTGTGTATATATGCAAATCTTCTTTGACATTTAATTTTGTTTTATTTCTTTCAAATTCTAGAATTTCTAAATTTGTATTTATATTTTTGTATTCATATCGAGTTCCGATTAGGTGCTCTGCAAAATTTGATTTCATTGTCGTTTTTCTACCTGATTTTAACGCTTGTATATGTTCTTGGAACCTTTTCTTAAATTTTATATTTTATATTTTCGATTATTTATATACGAATAGTATGAAATAATATGATGGATAAATATATGAAATATGAATGGTCAAATATAAATAGTATTTATATCACGCTAAAATATTGTTTTTATTATGTATATATACATAAAAATTTGAACGAATTCTCTTTTTGGTTGAGGGGGACATCAAAATGTAGTAAATCGATCCCGGGCCTAGGTCTTATGCCACCTACGGTAATACAAACTACTTCCCTATAGGGACATCCGCTAAAAGTGTACCAGTAACTTAATCACATAGGATAATTATTTATTAACTTAATTCTTACTATATTAGACCAATCAGCAAATTTCAAGGTATAAAAAAATACAATCTTTCAATATTCCACTTTCCTTAGAAAACCCGACTTGACAGTAGTAAATGTGTTCAAATAGCCAACTACTGCAAGTTCGTCACAAAAGAAGTGTTCTGGGGAGTGTTGTTGAAGGTCTAAATCCCGCTCATTACTGAAATTCGTAAAAATCTCAGTTAAAGTAAAAAATTTGTATTTGTTTGGGTCGTGGGTAGGTCTGCATCACTGTATCACTATCGTATCGTAGTTGTACTGGGCGGAGATGGCGTTTGCCTTTTAGGGAGAACCAGACATAACTTTCTCAGCCCACAATGTCCTGGGCCTCGTGTAGCCAAGAGTGAATCATCCTTCTAGACTCAGAAGCTTCCTGAGCCACCAACATACATCGTCACCCAATCACCAGTTAAGTTAGTGAAGCTACTACCTATATGCATATATTAACTCTAATATATCAATATCAGTGACAGATGATGGGATTTTGGGATGGGGGTATAACATCGGGGTATAATAAATAATAAGAGTGGAAAAGCTATACAGTTCACCTACATAGACAATAGACAACATGTATGAAATTGTATTACATTATTCAGTTTACAGTGGACCAATTGCTCCCTAGATACTAGAGTACTGATAAATATTACATCTTTCACAAAGAACACAAGCACTAATTCATCCTTATCTTTGATCTTTGCCAAAAGTCTTATATGGAACAACCAGTTCGTCAAAGTAATATTAACATAATTGCTTTTCTTGTTGTATGACATAGGACCTCAGTAGCTTTTGGAAGTTGTCCTTGTCGCCTACATTTCAGCTCATTTTGGTTCTATTGTCTGTTGTAACGAAAAGATTCTGAATTTTATTGGTTAATGGTCAGTATATGGTTTTATAAAAGGGTTATAAGGAGGCTATGGTGCCTCGCATCGGGGTAAAAGTAGTAGTGTCATCGGTAACAGAATCTGATATTTTTACCACGTGAAAATAGACTACAACAATTAATATTTTTTTGGTTGGTCAGCTGTTCCTGCTAAATCAGCTGTTTTTCAAAACACAAAACTGCTAACTTTTGGAAATGTGAATGGATGTTAGGTAAAAATATCTTATTCCCTATTTAGGGATATTCCCTGTGTAATGTTTTCTTATTTGTTTCATCCATGGAAACTAAATCGATAAAATAATTTTCTTGCGAATAAACTCTGTATCTTTAGAATCCTTTAGGGAAAACAGCAAAACACTTCCCAGATACACACAGAACGATTTTTCAAAGTTTCATGTCGAATGGGAGGACATCCCAATCGCATAAAAGAATGCAGGACACCTTATAAAAAATCGTCGACCTGTATAAACTGTATTTAACGTTACCATTATCAGTAGTGTTGTTTTACTATTATTTTATCAAAACAGTAATGGATAGTCTAAACATTTCACGCATAGTAAGTGTTTAGCGCGTGATTACGACGAGTCTGTGAGTGTTAAATATTGACTCGAGCTGGAAATGCACGTCAAAGTGTAAAGTTTGATAGAAAGGATTTGCGTGAGTTGCGTGAGAATCTGCGTGATTTGCGAATTACTGTCTTGTCGAAGACGTGTTCAATTTTTTCTCCGTAAAATTGTTTACGATAGAACAAGAAACTTTTGAACACTTCTTCATTGTTTTATTGACATTCGTAACGCAGTTGAACTCACAATTTATAAATGTATCCTAACCTATTTGTTATGTATGTATGAGGTTATTTCTCATATCATAGGCCTAGCCTCCTCTTTTGTTTTATGCGTGGCTGTCTGTAACCTCCTATTCAATCATTGGCTGGAAGAGTGAGGTCAAGGCTCAAAGACCACCAAAGTTAAGTCCTCTTGATCAGCTGACATAGAAGGCGGTGTCGAGGTCCAAAGGCTGCCAAGTGAGTAATCCCTCTTGGACAGCGATCAGCTGATTGTAGCCAACCAGCTGTAAAGTAAGACAAGGCTGTAACCTGTGGGCGGCCATTTCCGGCGATCAGACCGGAAGTAACAAGTGCAGACTTGCGGTGACCCACCCAACATTTAGCATTGTAAAATGTATATTAAATTAACTATGTGACAGTGTAATAAGTTAGCATCAAAGTCTTAAGAATAAGGTTTTACCTGTTTCCTCGATATGTGTGATTGTCGTGATACAAATTCTTGTTGGTTTGGTATAGTCGTACAAATA